TAAGTGCAACTTCATTCAGAATTTGGACTTTTAGCGCTTTCTTGTATATCTCCGAAACGACTCGAACGAATTTTTTTCAAATCTATTCACATAATCTTCATAATGTATATAAAGATGTCCGAAAGTCTCATTAAGATTGATTCACTGCAACACCTTGAAATTTCAAGACAAACCTGTCCTACCAACCGGTCAAAAATCTGCGTTACAACATTCACTGTTTTGACGTTATGCTAATTTTTCCAGAATAATGCGCACTATACATACCTCCATGACTAGTACATCTTAGTTTGAATTTATCGCATCTTTTGAATGTAAAATATTGGCAATACTCACACTGAAATGTACTAGTCATGGATATATGTATTGTCCGCATTAATTTGGAAAAATTACCATAACGTCAAAACAGTGAATGTTGGAGCGCAGATTTTTGACCGGTTCGTCGGATAGGTTTGTCTTGAAATTTCAAGGTGTTACAGTGAATCAATCTTAATGAAAGTTTCGGACATTTTTATATACATTATGAAGATTATGTGAAGAGATTTTGAAAAAATTCGTTCGAGTCGTTTCGGAGATATACAAGAAAGCGCTAAAAGTCCAAATTCTGAATGAAGTTGCACTTATACAGATGGTGAGAAAACAGGTTAGATTTCAATATCGCATGAACGAAAGTACACCAAAATTTCCTAGCATCAAAACATGATATTAAGCATCATTCTTACGCTACTTAAGAATAATTTGAGTCATTTATAACGTTTTTATTACATAACCTATCACGGCTATTGAAAATTTAAGGTTTGAAATATATTTTCGTTTTATTCGAATTCAAACATACAGAATTTTTTACTTCTTACGGAGATTGTTTGCTAAACACCAAACTTTAAGTTCCTAGTGTTGGATTTTCAGTAGCAGGTCTAGATCACACAAAATTCGGCTTTTATCAATTTCAAAGTTTTTTGTTTATTGTTGTCATAGTAATATCGATTTTACTTAAAACTACCATTTCACAAATTTCAATCCATAGCCAATTACTGGTGAAAATTTTATAGCCATCGGACAAGGTAAAAACTACTTTTAAGGCGATTGAAAAATATCGGTATGGCCTCTGAAAAGCTGTATCGAAACACCTTAAACTGTGCTTTGTCTCTCGAAGTTTGCGCCAGAACTCGTCCCCAGAGTCTTCGGCCTTTTCTCATCTTGGAAGGCGGTGTCACAGACTCACAGTGATATGGGCATCCCGGCGTTTTGGCCATCCCCATTTCCAGAACCCTAGTGAAATGGGCTTCCCCTGTAACCCTAACCCTAACTGTAACCCTAATCGTTAAGGTTATATGAGAAGGGGATGCCCATATCACTAGGGTTTTGGTAATGGGGATGCCCATATCACTGTAACACCGGGCTGAAATTTCTCATATCAACTACGAACGCGAAATTGGTCCTGGTAACCAGGCTCTTGTGATGAGGCCCTTAATCGCTTCATTATAAGTTTTAAATACAAAAACAAAACATAGATAATAATAGAGGACACTTGCGGGTAGGGCTCAAACCATAGAACATGGTCAAAACAGGTACATATCACTCTTTACAACCCAGTGAACGGTGTAATTATTAACAATTAGACGCCTCAGGCGACGTGAATATAGGCGAATAGTCACCGAGACGAAGTCGAGCTGACCATTTGCCGATATTCACGTCGCCTCAGGCGACTAATTGTTGCTGCGGAGCGACCGAAGGGAGCGAGCAGCAACATAATCAGGATTTAAAGCAAATATATAAGGGGCGACGAATTCTCGAATTCATCACTTTTTACCACAATGCATTGCATTTAACCAGAGTGCATTGCGCCACCAACAACTCAAATAAAAACACGGGGAAGTTCGGTGGGTGAGAGAGTGCATCGTTCGCTGCTCAGACTTAGAGTTTTCTTTGTGGCAAATTTTCTACAGCACGGTTAGAGGTCTTACCAAATTTTTAGACACGCAGGAGTCTTTCAGATGAGTACGATGGTTAACTTGGGGATTGGATTTCAATTCAAGAGCCTTTTTTGACTCAAGAGCCTTTTTTGCTCTTCGACTCCGCAACACGGGGGATATACAAATTCCAGCTTGCTAGAAGGTGATGTGAAAGTGAGAAAATGTCATGCAATGCTATTCTTAAGAAACTGTATGAGCCGAAAATGGATGTGATTTTGACCATTCGCTTCAAAATAACAGCGGAAATCGAGATAACAAAACATATGTTTTGTGTCCTACTTTGCAGACGAGGACGTGTATCGGCGTTTTGAAAAGCATAATTATGTTCTTTCATTCATTTATTGCCATGGAATATGCGTTTACATTGTTTTTTCACTGTTAATAGCTCGGTTAATGCGGCTGGCGATCATCTTGCCGGCGGAAGTTTCATGGAAAAGGAATAAAATGAAAGACTTTTCCTAAAGACTACGTAATCAGTCTCTGTGGTGTAGTGGTTAAGTGTAGTCGCGTCGAGACGAAGGTGCCGGGTTCGAATCCTACGGAGTTATTTATTCCTTCTTTTTTTTTTTTCCCGTTTTTTGTGTTGTTGTTTTCTATAAATATATAGCTAAATAACTGTTACTTAATAAAGTGCAACAAACAGCAAGAAAAGTATTGTGTTTCCAGAGAAAATATCGTGCACCGTATATTAAATATATGGATAAACGATCTGAATTTCTATTATTTCCTACAATTTACTGTGGGAAAACCAGAGTTGATAACCACTTGATCATTTTCTAAACAACGTTCCCACGAGTTCTTTCTATAGACTGATAGTAATTATTCTAGTACTTTCCAACATGTAAATAGGACATTCAATGTCATTTTTGATTCTTTTAAGTCTCACTGCCTAACTAATGCCAGTATCAACAGAATGTGCCGCAGCATTACTATCTTTTAGATACCCTAGTTTCAGTATAATTACATTTATCATTATTCGAGAAAATAAAATTATTGATCAATTTCCGATTCCGAAACATCAACAAATGTGGCTGCCATTTTGAAAGCTGGTAGCCTTCAATGTTATAATCACCGCGCGGTGATTATGGCGGGATAAAGCGAAGCTCCTAGCCAATCATAGCGCTCTATTTTCGATAATCATCAATGTAATTATACTAAAGCTTAAGGGGACAGGTTCACGGTTCAGCGCATGCTCATTTATCAGAATGCTGTTTTCTGTCTGGACACGCTGCACATCTGCCTGGACATCGTCAATGCAAGCAATATGATCATGTCATAATGTTGTCAGAGAACCAATCTGCACACTCCCCTGACAGTCACTTGCACTTGATCAACTTAAATATTTGCAAATAGCTGTAAATTAATCAACCATGGAATAAAACCATCGGGTCAACCACAAATTCAACGTTGGTAGTGTTGGCATAATCCACTATTTTTTTCTGCGATTTTAGTACTCCTCCATCCTACTTCAGGTTACTCTGAAATACCATTCTACTTTTAAATACACTCTGAGATTGCGGAGATACGTGTGAGTGGGATTATTAACCGATAGAATTAATAATAAATTGGAAAGAAGTAATTTAATTAATGAGCATGCCCTTAACCGTGAACTTGTCCCTTAAATAATGCAGTCAATGCCTGCGTGTATTATGCGTCTAGACTGCTGATTAATACAACCGGTCATAATATTCAGATAATGCGCGGACAAAGCCTTACGAAGTATTGATAATCCAACCACAACAGTCTTGAGCAGAGTTTTCTATTCTACTTATGTGTGTGGTTCTCTTATCGATCTTATCAGTAAATACAGTGCGAATTCAGGGAATTCGAAAATTTTTACGACGCGAGAGAGAAGAATGTAACTTTTCCTTGCCCTATTCTTTCGCAATAATTCGCACAAATGAGCCTGCTCGCAGGCTATTGAATACAGTAGGTTGTGGTAGTCGCAAGCACAAGGAAGAATGAACCAATCTAATTGCGTGCAAACGAGAATTTGTGCGGATTGGCTTATTCTGCTGCTTCTTCCTGCGACACCCCGCGACTTCGTTTTGGTACGTGCCATTCGCACGAGTCCGGATATTTTTGAAACCCCATATTTTTTTTTTGACTTGAATCGGTCCTCTGACCACACAAAGCCAGTGATTCCGCTCATTCATCCGCAGTCTATTTGCGTACAAAATGTGCGGTTTTAAATGTATTCGCGGATACGTGTGGACGGGGCCTTGGCTCCAGTCTTAAAGCAACGGAAGCTGAACGGAATCATGACGCTGAGTCAGGTGAGAAAAAAAAATTGGAAATTTCTGATTTCGACTTCAGTTTCTGTTCAACTAACTTAGCCAATATCCAGCCATCTAGAACTTACGGCGCATAGTCAAATTGAAAGCACTGTATAAACTGACTCTGTAGCTTTCTGCTTCAGTAAGAATTTAACTTGTAAAAATCAATAACCCGCTGATCGTCCATGGCCAGTTTTCCTTTATAGCTAGATGGAGTAGGAAAGGGGTGATTTAAGGATCAGCAAGCATATGGATCCGTACGTGCTCTGACAGTGTGTAGGTAAAAAAAATCCTCAGTATTTTCTTTACTTTTTTTTATTAAAGTAGAAGTCGGGAAAGATTACTTGCGAGTTCACTTTCTTTGTTTCTACGAAAAATAGCGTAACTTGGGGAGTGAAATGTGAAAAGTTAAACTTAAAAAAAAAATTGTCGGTAATTTATTAGCCGGTCAAGCTTCGAAAATTGTACATGAATGGAACAGTCATGATCATCTGGCAATTTTTAGCCATTCTCAAGTAATAGAAAATTCTAGGCCAGCTCTGCTACTCCGAATAGGCATTAGGGACTTAACGAACCTGAGCTCGACGTAGTTTGAACACACCGAAACTGAGAAGGGCCCGGGGCGACAACGCCGTCACGAGCGCGGGAAAAACAAAGTTACGGATGCCAACGCTACGACAGAGGCAGAGCTGTGCAAATCCTTTAAACTCCGCTAAACACATTTTCGTTTTATAGCTGCTGTTATACATTATAAATGGCAACATTCAGAGAGGCAAGGGAAGCTTTATTGTTTGCCTATCAAGATGGAAGCATTTATGACACAGAGTTTGCCCTGTTGTACGATTTAAATTCTTCTGAAAATCTCGAATTTCCTTATTGGAAGTATGGTCGCTTCGATCTTGATTCTATGACAGATGATGAGTGTAAGGCTAATTTCGGTTTTTCAAGAACGATATTTATTTACTCGGAGAAGTTCTTGATATTCCAGACATAATGGAATGCCCAAATGGCGCTCTTATTACTCATTTTCAAAAGGTTATATATACAGCCATAGATTTGCACTGTCATTATAACACAACGGGGAAGAAGGAAAAGTCATAGAAAAATATATCGAGTCTAATGCAATATATAACATAAAATTGTAATGCCTGCAACCTACCGACCACCCGCCCCTACCCCTTATCCTGCTTTTTAGTTACAGTGAAACCTGTATTAAGCGGACACCGTATTAAGCGGACACCCTCTATTAAGCGGACAGTAGCCGAAGTCCCCAAATTTATTTCCCTTATTTACTTTAAATGAAACCCTTTATTAAGCGGACACCTCTATTAAGCGTACGCAGACACCGAAAAAGTACCTGAAATGGTCTTTTCTATTGTTTTCAACCTGTATTAAACGGACACTTGTAATTAAATTCCACCACTTAACATGCTAGACACCGGAAATGCAAAAGATTGCCACCCACAAATTTTAATTTGTTACCTTAAAAAACGTGACTTGCCGAACTTATTTGATTAGTTTCACAGTACAGTTATGTTTTCTGTTTCGTTTTGTTTGTATGGAGCTTGTTTCACTCATCTGATTTCTTCAAATTTGAGTCGCAATCTATGTTTATGGTACTGGTTCACTAAAATAAAGAAATTAATGCAAACGTATATCGTCATAGTAGGTCTAAACGTTTCCACTGTTCATTTGAATGGCATTTGACACCTCATATGACGTTATCTATTGAAACCTGTATTAGGCGGACACCCTGTATTAAGCGGACACTACAGCAATCCCCGAGGGTGTCCGCTTAATACAGGTTTCACTGTATTAATGACCGCAGCCTTGGGACTGAAATAAAACTCACAATTTTTTCATTAAAACTTGATTGTGTCTTAATCATTAAACTGATTTTAGTGAAGAGTACTGCTAACCCTACAAGAGAGATTTTAAAATTAAAAATGTGAGCTTAATATTTGGCCTCAACATACTCCCTCCCCTAGATTCCCCAGCCCTTTTTATCCAAGGGAGTTTTTTAAAACCTGTTTTCGAACACACAAAGTATCACTAGTTTCTTTATTGGTGCCCATTGAGTACTGAAATGGGGCACGGTGCCAGGGAACCATGTGTGGAGGCTAAGAGGTTAGACCTGGGCGAAGCCTCTTCGTACCTTCCATTTCACTGTGAAATTGTCAGCTGCCTCAGTTTTCATTCCAAATGCGGTGCCGGTAGCATGTTTATAGATTGATCAGATGCCTCATGGTGGGTCTGCCGTGAGGACAGTTTCAGGAATGTTCAATCTTTCGAATGTGACAAGCCACCTCCTTCATTTGCGTCAGGTTAAGTGCAGCTCCAACCCTGATGGTCATGCGACACGCACAACTTGCAAACATTTTACTCACCCTAGAGGGTCTACACATCACAGCGTGAGAATCACTCAGTATGAAAATCAGTTCTTCAATGTCCTCGACACCAAACGTTCACTTTTGGCTCATGGGAAGAGAAACTAGCTTGACATTTTTCATTGCCTCGGCATTGTGATCAATCTCAAAATTAAATCAATTCTTTTGAAATATTTCTACGTTATTTGTAAGAATAGCTTGATTGGCAGCTGTCAGTTCAAACTTTCTGGTTTTCCAACCTACTTTGCGAAGGTATTAGTCAACCCCAAAAATAAATGTTACTGTGGCTCAATTATTTCGGAGTGGGAAGCTTATTTTGATTATTTGATTAAGCGAAGATGAAGCTATCATTTCTCCATAAAACCTAGGATGGAAAAGAAGTTCCGGCACATGAAGTTTGAGGTCATGCAGCCGAAGATCAAAACCACCGGAAATTCCAGCACGTGGATGAATCATACCGGATCAGTCGTCGTGGAGTGTTATGGCCCAGATCAATTAATACAGTCTTTCATTTCAGAATTCAGGGGAGGTGAGGAGGGCTTAAAAGGGGGGAAGGGGTTAATAACTCTTTCCCCTGAAAAAAGGGGGGTCATTAGAGAGGGGATGGCTTATTTAAGAGGGGCGGGGGGCGAGGTCTTAATAGAAAATTAAGTGTATTTCCTCTTGGCTTGTTCTATTTTCACGACCACCCTATAATCTGAAAACCCGGCAAAGCTGTTAACAAATGACTTCCTCAAAGGAGTTTTCATTACCTTAATGATTTTATTGTTCCAGTTCGATTATACTATAACTAACAACCCTCTTCAGGGGCGAGGTCTTTAGATCAGTTACCCTAACTATTCCTGCGTTTGCGCATTTCAAGTTTATAATTCAAAGGTCCCCTTCTTAGTTCTTAGAACAGCTAAAATACTCCATGAAGGAACCAATATAAAAGATTTTTCGAGTTTTATAAAGAGTCATCGAGTCCATTGAGCATAGGTGATATGTATAGAGATTATTCATTGAGTCATACACTACAAAAACAAAGATGGCCATCGACCGGTTCTTTCGTTATATCGCCCCATGTAGGGAAATTCAAGGCAGTCTTGTCTCCCCCCCCCCCCCCTAAAGCTAAAAAAGTCCCAGAAGGAACCAAAACAAAAAATTTTTTGTGTTTTATAAAGAGTCCTAGAGTCCATTTCGAAAAGGGTAGATGTATTGAGATTTTTTTTTGAGGTATTCAACAAAAAAAAAAAGAGGGCCCACGCCCGGTCTTTTTTTTATACCCCCCCACTTAGGGAAAATTAAGGCGGCTTTTTCTCCCCCCCCCCCCCCCCCAAAAAAAAAAGTTTGTTGTAATACCCAGGAGAAATTAAAAACAAAGGTTATGCAAAATTTGGGGGGCGAGGAAGGTGTATTGTGGGAGATGTGCAAGTGGCATATCATTAGCAAATGAGAGCAAGTTCAGCTCAGGTACCCAAGTGTTTGCCTAGTCCCTGTACGGCGTTTTTCCAGTCCCTTTCGGTCAATTCACGTCGGTGACGTATCCGAGGCGAACGGGCGGAGAACGCCTTGACAAAAACAGAATGAGTGCGTTGCTTTTTGAAATTCAAGACGTTGTCGATCATGTCAGGTAAACAGCAGGCAATTATGGTTTCTTAAACAACCCTTGTGGTCCTTGTGGATATTTGCGGGATCGACTTTAAAAAGTCATCAATGTTCCAATTCATAGTCCTGTCAAGATTAATTCTGTTCCTTCAATCTCATCATTCCAACTGAGCTATCTGAGTTTGCGGCTCTTAATATAACCCATTTAAACGACGGCGAATTTTCAAAGTAAAAACAGTACTTTAGCGACCTTCTGTGTAGTAAACTTAGAGCGCAAATTTCGAAGTACAATTTTGCAAAGAAAAGCCTTTCTTTTCTTCGTCCACTAAAAGAAAATTAAGCATTCATTTGAACTTTCCCTTCCCATCTGTGTCTTTTAGCGGTGTATTTTTAACCTTGAAATGCGGAACACTGTTCTTTTAACCGCCGCCATTGAGCAGTCTCACGTTTGTCTCGCTAATTGAGGATTTTTGTCTAGGCCGGCACATTTTCGCTTTCACCACGTGTCCCGAAGTGGTAGCCATCTTGGAATACTGTGAGAGTGGCAAACCAAAGGCTCGTTCAAACAAGGTCTCGATCGGTAGCGGTGCTAAGATTCGGACAAGAAGACGGGGAGGGACAATGTCGGGACCTAATTGGCGACCCTGCACCGTGATACCAAGAGCAAAAAACACTAGAGAATTCATTTTTTTCTTGTCTACTTTCATGCCAATTCCTGGACTAGGCGCTCGCAAAGGGTTAAAAGACGACTCCGCAACAGCAGCTGAATGCCAGGCGCAAATTCCTTCAAATGAAGGGGTTCGCATCTGCCCGCTCACTGTCGAATGAGATTGTTGTAATTTGCCAGTTTTTGTGTATCTATCAAAGCTGTGATTACGGCATTGTTAGTCTGTTTCAATAAATAGTGTCTTTTTGTTTACAAATCAAAGGCGTTGTCGTTGTCAAACGACCGTTTCTGACTCCCCGACCGCCTCACAGAACCGCCAATAAGCCTTCCTGAGTATGCATTGTCTTCTCGCTGTCCCTTCCCGTATACAACCGCTCCCAGATCGTTTAATGTCGTCACGTGAGATATCGTCATCTGGAGAGCAGTGGTATCGGGTAAAAGTTTATGAGAAACGGCACAACACCAACTGACCTCGTTGCCGCGCCGCGCCGGATTAATGAAGCCAAGGGACTGGGCAACCCAACTGTAACATTATCATCTTTTTCCAGTTTTGAAACGGAAGGCATGTGAAGTTTCTGACACCAAAGGGACAGAACCAAGTGTCCGCTTTACAGAGGTGTCCGTATTATAGAGGTAGGGAATGTATGATTTTTGGCATTTCTGGGACTAAATGAACTATCAGTAGTAGAGAAGTCTCCGTATTGAGGTGTTCGTAAGGAGAGGTTAGACTGTATTTACAAAAGGCAGTCAATGGTTACTGTGTAGCCTGGCTAGCCGTAGCAGTTTTTTAATTCTCCTCCCCCACATGGTCTTTCACAGCCACACTCAGGCTCCTTAAGAATTAATTGCCTCCCCTGAATTTCTTGTATTATCCCCAAGCAAGGTCGAGTCAACGCTTTTAGAGCGTCTTCTTAGTACTCCTTAGGCGATTGAACGAGACGATGTTAGAATTGTTTTTGATAAAAAGTTAGGTAATAAGTGAGAAATAAATTGAGTCTCCACCTGGTAATCTCTCTTTCCTTTTTATTGAAATTCAAACCAAAGACAACTTTTCATGTCCAGCGCGGATTATTGCTGTTTCACGAGTAGCCTGCGTTACAGCCGGCCTATAATAATAATAATAATAATGGAATTTTTATAGCTCTTATACATCGCTGTTCTAAGCGCCCATGCATCGTGAATTGTTGATCATTCCTCACGGTGTTTATTTGATTTCTATCCAACTAGGAAAAGGTAGAAATTGGGGAAGAATAGATTTAAATGCCTAGGTAGGCTACTGAGTGTAAGATACATCCAATATACACGTTTAGACTTCCTTAAGGGATACAAAATGAGTTATTACTCAAAGTTCACCACCTAAATGATTTTATTGTAGTTCTAGTTGAAATCAAAAAACTTCTTAAGGACTGAGGGGTAATAAGTGGTCAAAAATTGCATCCTTCAGTTTCCCTAATTACTCCGGCGGCGCCAAGGAGGGCTCATTTTAAGTTTCTAATTCATTTTCCTCATTCTTAGAATCCTTGATACGCTCCATGGAGCCGGGGCATGTCATTAGTGATGGGTGCTCGAAGAAAAGAATAAGTGAATCTTCCTTCCAATGTCCTTAAGAACCGGATAAAACTTTTGCAGGTGATATAAAAAGAGATTATTTGATGACACTATAATGGGAACAGTTATTGAATTTTTTTTCTCGGTCGATTCTTCCACTGTAAGGTGTTTTTCGTCTATCTAAAAGAAAATTGACCAAAATCGAAATCAAAGCATGAAAAGAAAGCAGGATCATCAAAACAGATACGTATCACGTTCTGCAACCCAGCCAACTGTATAATGAAGTGCGTAAATATGGGTCTAGGTCAGTATTCTAACAAACCGTAATTATTTCACTTACGACAGAGAGAGACTGACACGGTCTCGTAAACAGAAGTGCTGAGCGTCAACCGACTCGTCACGAACCAGGAGAAATCAAACCAAAGGAGTCGTGAGTAGATAAGTTTGTTTACCATTCTGCTTAACTAGCTTATCAGTAGGTGTCTTACGATCTGGTCAGTGAATGCATGGCAAGAAGTCGCAATCAGAAGCAAACTCAACTTCTCCTTGCTACTCCGACAATCTGGTGTTTCACAATGTGTCTCACTAGATCCAGTCGTAAACTGAATTGAAATGAAAATTAACAGAAATTTCTGATCCCTGGGTTGTTAACAGGTTTGAACCTGAATATTAAAAGGAGAAACATCGCTTTTCAACTTGTTTTGTAGCAATGTTGCAAAACAAGTTGCATGTTTTTGTTGCCCGTTTAACCGAAGCTTAAAATTCCCCGCTTTAAAGTCCCAGGGGTGGGAGAGCTGGGGGCCGGAGTCGGCAATTGAGTGATGTACATGTATTATGAACTGATGAATTTACAAACCTGATCAGGAGTCGTAAGAAGAGTCATAACCTGGACGAATTCGGACTGCCGGGGCTTTCGAGACTGCGCGAAAAATTCCCGCTCATGACCCGGGTCGAACTCGTTTTTTATTAATTCCCCCACCCCTCGGGGCTCACACGTTGTTAAGTGTGCATTATATCCCGGCATTGGCCGCGTTAAATTCCCGATATCTCAGTGCCACTATGCCCCGGGGTGGGGGGCCGGGATTTCAATTGACAAATATGCATAGAACGTATGATCTGCTTCGATGATGTGTTAGAAACCTTGGATCGTGGTTTGACAGCAACTTAAGCATGACTGATCATATAAACAAGGCTTGTAATGCGGCATTTTATGATTTACATAACTTCAGACGTATTAAGAAATACCTGTCGAGAGATTCTTTAATTACTTTGGTTCATGCTTTTATAACCAGCCGTCTTGACTATTGTAATGGTTTATTGTTTGGCTTACCAAATGTGCAGATCGCTAAATTACAGCGTGTACAAAATGCAGCAGCAAGACTTATTCTTGGCATTGGAAAGTTTTCTCACATTACACCGGCGCTTTATGAGCTGCACTGGCTGCCAGTTTCTTTGCGTATTGACTATAAGATTTTACTTTTGACTTTCAAATGTATTTATGGCCTAGCGCCAACTTATCTTAGCGATCTTATTAGTATAAAATCGAATTCATTATATAATCTTAGGTCTACTGGTAAGCTCTTATTGGACCATCCCAAGGGAAAGATGCTTACAACATTGGGAGCAAGATCATTCTCAGCAGCAGCTCCGAAACTCTGGAATGAGCTACCTGTGGAGCTTCGTCAAGCAACATCACTTAACAGTTTTAAATCTCGACTTAAAACCTATCTTTTTAAGAAGTATTTTTATAGTTTGTAACTTAGTTTATTTTATTCTCACAGTAATGTATTTTCGTTTTCTTTTAATCATATGATTGTAAAGCGCTATTGATCAGCACATGTAAATACGCGCTATATAAATTGGTAAATTATTATTATTATTATTATTAAATTTGTGCCTATGACAAGACAGTATAAATTACTGACTCAGTTGCAAAGCAGCCTGTAACAAGTTCAATTTACAGGATATAGGAGTGAGTTGTAAAAATTTATCTGTTTGTTTGCTGCAACGTTGACTGATTATTTACGCTGCTTAATTTTTTTTTCGTTTTCAAATGAGCTTTCGGTTGTGACGTTAATCAGTCAATTTCCTTTCATAGACGAGGTGGGGGATAAGGTTCAACGACCCTGTCAGTCGGTATGTGCTAACGAGTAGTAAAAAACCTTTAATAATTCGTGATGTTCTTTTATTTTCCTTAATACGCATCTATCAGCTTTGGTAAACATCAACTTTTAAAAGATACCTTTATAAAAGTTCACCAGATTATATAACTTAAAGGCTCTAACGGATAATAAGAACGGACTTTGAATGTTAATTTTAACTTAAAGATTCTAAATTGATAGTTCTTGAGCGGACTCTTGACTTGGTGATCAAAAACAAAACTTTCTTCCGTATTGAAGGAACTAATCACCTACGTCATATCAGGCCACCAATCAGTTGTGTATTAAACAAAATATAAATCTTGAGTTATCTCGCTTTTTTATCAGTCTTTGTTGGGAAATTCTCAGACGGACTTTTGGTTAAAGAACTTCTTGACAACATGTCGCAGGAAGCAGCTAAAGGTGATGCACCAGGAAGACTGAGTCCGCTGAAACAGGCCGCTGCAAAAGTGCAAAAGATTTGCGATCAGGTATCACTAAACTAGCATAATGAGGCAACTCCCTCATGAAATCTCATTTCTTTCTCCGCTTAACTTCGAAATGCCTTGTTTGGCGATAGCGGACAACCCGCGTAACCCGAGCTGGAAAGCACACTGCGTAAGTATTATCGTGAGCATCAAGTTAATACGCGATCTTTTAAGGCATACGGACTGATTTTGAATACGAAAAATGATGTACTGAGTTATTTAACCTAGAAATATCAGTTATATATTTTCCTTGTTTCTCTGTGTCGTTTTCTTCAGTTGGTTTGAGCAAAATACGACAGCGCGCTTGAAAATTGCCATCTACGAGAAAGGTGACACTCGGAGGGAAGACAGAAACATTATATTTCCAGCTTGGGCTGTCTGTGCTGAGCTTTGTGAACAAACGTCATGAACGGTTAAATTATTGCCAGTATGTTTGATGCGATAGAAGTACATTTGGTTGTAATCATGGTAACAATTAATGTTCCAAACCCCCGACTTTTGTGATTAAAAATGAAGAAAACAAGGGAAAAAAGGAGTGGAAGGCTTCCAGCCGGAATATTAACGTTCACTGTATTGTTGCCAAGTAAAACCTCAATATAACGAAGGGCCAAAGGACAGGCAATATATGTTCGCTTAGACAAGGTTTCGTTTTATCGAGGTTCTTTTAATTCATATATTTTATTATTACTGGGGTAAGAACAACCGCTCGTTATACCGAGGACTTCGATACATCGAGGTACCACTTTAAATAGATAGATGGCACCATCACAGCAGAGGTGGGCGAGGTATAGTTAGGGCGCATATAACTGGGGTTTTACGGTATATATTTCACACCTCTTTGTTAACAAGGTGAAAAATAACTTCAAATTGTCTCCCCAAAAGGTGAAGCCCCAAGCAGAGAAAATGGCAGGGCAACAATTTCCAGAATTTAAAGCCATATCATATAAAACTCAAGTTGTAGCTGGAATAAATTACTTCATTAAGGTTAGTCAAAAACGTTCCACACCTACCCCTTCCCTAAGCCAACATTAACACTTGCTTCTCACTTAGAAGAAAGTTAAGTCAAGCGTTGTCTGTTTCCATAATCACTAATATTCTCATAACACAGTATTCCAGTCAAACGGTCTGCCCGGTCGATGAGGATCAATAGTTTAAAAATGAGGTTTTGTGAAGACATTGTCAACAACAGCCCTACACTTCGCCTTCAACTTAACGCTTTCGGACGTGAGCAATGGTGCAGGGTCACTGTGAAAGATTTCACCCCATATAAGGGAATCCGGATTGCGGAATCCGATAGATTTTTGCTCCTGGAATCCAGAATCCAAGCTCCAGTGACAAAGTCAGGAATCCAGTACCTGGAATCCGAAATCAACGGCGTGGAATCCAGAATCCAAGACTGTCTTGTATTCCCTTACATGGGGTGGAAGATTCTTCAGAGAAGGGTACAGCTTAGTTAAAGGGGCTCTGTCACTAAATTCAGCGAAAGATAAGGACTTCTCGCTGGTCTCGCACAGAAGACCGAGCACAAGTGCTATTAACCCACGCTTACATTCAATTTCCGTTTTTTTTTTCCTCGAATAGGTGTATTATCCATCATCCTCGCTTTCATGCTTTTTTAGATAATTATCTGTTAGAACGATTGCGTGTGATCACAAGCTCAACTAAAGGTTTTGATATCTTAAACAGAAACTCAAGAGTAATTTTAGATCAAAATTCAACATTCAATGAAAAGAAATAACATTAATTTTATTAGATCTTTTATTAGTGTCCCCTGGGTTTCGCTATGAAGTTGATTTTTTTCTATCGACATTTCATCTTTTTGAATGCTGAAAGTTCATTATTGACTCACACATTACGTATTGGATCTAAAGGGCAATCTCGATTTCTCGAACTCTAGGAGTTGCGAAACCCCGGATAATTCGAACTAAACCTAACTTTCTTTACGAGCTACACAGAGTAATTTTACCCTCGGTTTTTCAAACCTCCCTATCATTCGAACCAATTTGATTTTCCCAATATTTTCCGATAAATCGGGCTTCCACTGTATACCTTACTCGAGGGTGGGTCCTTTAAACTGTTAAAATATTTTACCTACAGGTTCTTGTTGGCGGTCCTTCCTACGTTCATTTGCGTGTTTTCCAGTCTCTGCCAGGTGATGGATCAACTGTTACATTGACTGCTATCAAGACAGGAATGACCAAGGACGATCCCATCAACTATTTTGACTAGAGTCAACACAAGTTCTAAATCAAGACAAAATTCAACCTCGCACCTAGGGTTTTTTACGTCATGCTACGTCATTAATGACGCAATTTACGAAAAACCTTGTTCCCGGGGTCTTTCTTTTTGTCTTCTGTGTACGACTCAAGCCTGATGTAAATGAAAAAGAGAGATCCTGGGAACAAGGCTAGCTCACGAAAATGAGGTTGGACAAAAAATAAGAGTTACTAGTGATGTAAGCATTTTGTAATAATGTTAAAGTAAAAAGTAAGAAACTATTTTTTGCTTTTGTTTGATCGTTTGCAAAGACTTTTTAGAAGTCAATTAACTGATTGAAGGGATAGAACCAGCTTGTGTCCACTTGATGGTTGCAATAAAGCTTTGCAATGCCTGGAAAATGTATCACCTTCAAGCCACAGCAAAATGTATTTTCACTGTACATGCATACAGGATCGCCACGGTAAAAATTTCGAGGTTACATTCCACAGATTTTGTCGAAATTACGGTGCACGCGTTTACTCAGAATGTCTCCTGACTGGATTAAGTTTGATACACAACTGATCATATCTGTTCAGTTGCTAAGAAGAAAAAGGAAAGTAGAAAAATTCTCTTGCGTTTTTAAGAAAAAAAATGAAGCAATCAACGAAACGAGTCTGGCAGGATATGAAACAATAATTTTCCAAGTTTCCGTGTATACTGTGTCAAGACCATGGGCAAAGCTTTTTAACTATATCAACATCAAGGACTTTTCTTACCACAAAAAAGGACAAAATTCACCAACTCTGGCAGTATGACTATTCGTTCTTAGTAAATTCGATGAAAGAGCAGTGCCAGTAAGCTTTCCGGCTTTAGAAATGAGCTTGGGGGACTGAACAAGAAGAATCTTTCTTTTACAGACCTAGTAACGTTCAGTCTACAGTGCAGGGGATGCGAAGTATGTTTATTATGTATACATTTTGCGACTTACACACCCACAGCATGTTTGCTGTTCCAGAAGGTACTAGGAAAAGGATTCACCCTTCCAAGACACGAGGTCAGTGTTTTCAGGGCTCGAAATGAAAAGTCCTATCCGGTTGCGGATCAGGAGAAGTAGCTTTTCTTGCTAGGCAAGTAACGTCTTAAGCTTACTTGCCCAATAGGCAAGGGACCAGACACGTCATCTTGTAACCTAAATTATTAGGGAGCTTAAGCAACTACGACGACAACGACGACAATTTCAAAAAACAATAGATTTAATGATCAAAACAACAGCCATGCACGTGCATCACGCTTTTTAGTACATTTCTTCGACGTCACTGCACGACTACGACGTGAAACCTCCTAATTTGACGTTTTATGGAGGACGTGGACATACGACGACGAACTTTCCTTCCTCTTTTTTAACTTGAATAAAATCCTTAAGAATTCAATTCCAGGAAAAGTAGCCCGCATTCGACATATTGACCAGGTTCAAATAAACGCGATTAAGTTTGAAAGAACGCAGATTCGTTTTTGTAGCGACGTTTTCACTGCCGTAGTCGTCGTCGTTGCTTAAGGTCCCTACTAAAAAGACAAGCCATCAATATCTCCGGAAAACAGAATGCGAGAGCTGTTCAGTAAGGACATTGCAATCAATCTCAAAATCAAATCCGTTCTTTTGAAATATTTCCACGTTGTCCATAACGATAGCTTCATTGGCAGTGGTTAGTTCAAGCTTCTGGGGAACAATAAGACGTTGGGACATAATTGTTGTGTTCCTCTGTTGATCCTCTAAGTTAAATTTCTCATCTGAAGCATGCTGGTCGATTATGAACAAATCATTGTCCAGTTTTGCGATGATAAAACCCAGATTAAATTGACCCAAAACTTCCATACCCTTGAACCTATCTTTAATGATATTTTTCGTTAGTTCTTTCTCAGCACTGGAATTGCTCTCTGGTGCTATCTTCGCTCTAAACAAAAGAGCTTCTACTTCACCTATTTTCTCTCTCGTTTGTGCCGTAACAATGCTTTTAACTTTATTCATACTGAAGCTCATGGGTGTTTCCTTTCTGTTTCTAGCCATCTCCGATACCTGAGTTTGTTTTTCGGTGTTGCCAAGTTTAGGAAGAACCAGTATTGTTTTGCAAGATGCGTTACTTGAATTAATTATCTTTAGCCTGGCCTACGCTCTGAATCTATTTCTTGCTGGACGTCTTTCTGAGAACTAAGTTCGTTATCATTAGATTCACTTACGGAAATGATATCATCCTTAACTTCAATAACTTCAATGTCAGTTTTTTTTTGCTAACAGTTCACTGGTATCACCAATATTTTCAGATCTTTGAGTCTTAGCAACAGCATAAACATACCCACCATCTGTTTCCACAGACTCTTTGCTTTCCAGCCTAGACTACAAGTAATCCCCCATTTTTCCTCCTGGGGGACTACTCGTAGTCTATTTCCAGCCGAGAAGCTTGTTTTTTCCCGCGTGAATATGCTGGTAAGCTTCACCTGCTTACCGCTAGGCTCTTTTGGTTTCTCAACCACATCTTGGTCAACTGATGAAATCTTCCTCTTGAAACTGCTAAGCGATGGAAATTTCCCTTTCTCAACATGCGCCCTTGTTGGTACAACTGAACCGGGTAGATCTGATACCTTTTCATCTTGCTTGATCTTAGAGCATTGAAGGTTTTCATTTTCATGGGAGTCGCCATTGCAGTTTCTAGGAACAAACGTAGAGGCTGACAGTTTTGTTTTTTAAAATATATGGTTGACTTTTATAGAAATGAGTCCTGAGCAGTGTGACTAGTTCTGAACTGCTTTAGACTCAATTACCAAACGCTGTTTGGGAGAGGAGCCCTTTCTCGGAGAGGAACATGTACAACGCCGAACCCTAGAGATTCGAGCCTCAAACAACTAATGCCCTGCTGTACGGGGCCTTTAACAAACGTCTTTGCCCGGGGAGCTGGAAAAATAGCGGGGTTTTAACACCAGACCAATGCTTAATTCCCCGCTAAGTCCCGGGGGTCGTGGGTGGGGGGGGAGGGGTTGAGTTTCAATAGCGTAGCGCGCGATTGACGTCAGAGTGACTGATTTGCAATTTTTGTCTGAGTTTTGCCATTTTCCTCATTTTAACGACAAAAGTCAGACAAAAGTGAGGAATTCGTTAAATATTAATTTCAGTTTGTTTGTCTGAGTTTCGGGTCTATAAATAGTAACTGCACGCAGCGCTATTGACTGATGCATAAGCGCTAGTGAAAAGCGATTTGAGAACGTATGATCTGCTTCGATAATGTGTAATTGTGCCTATGATAGGCTAGATTGCTTGTAGTCCGCCTTTTCTCCTAAAATCCGTCCAGTCCTTATCTCATCCAGCGCGATTGCAAACCACGATGTTCCTATTTAGGGATTGAGACGGGCTTTAACGCCCTCGTTTTTCGCAACAAACGGCCTCGCCGCTCGGGTGCTAAGGTTTCTCGTGCAGTAACTTTGGAAAGAAAAATAAGAGACTGCTCGCAGTCTAATGATAGGCGGCAGTATAAAGACCCCTATAAACTGAGTGGGTTGCAAAGTAGCCTGTAGCATGTTAAGTTTATGGGACTATAGGAGTACAAGTTGTAAAAATTTATCTGTTTGTTTGCTGCACCTTATAATTTAATTTTGTTGTTTAATATTATTTCATTTTTCAATCAGCTTTCGGCTGTTAAGTTAATTAGTCAATTTCCTTTCATAGAGAGGGAGATAAGGTTCAACGGGTACGTGCTAAGGATCATGTTGTTTTATTTTCCTACACGTCTACTTTCTTTGGTTAGCATCAACTTAAGATACCTTTATAAAAGTTCACCAGATTATATCACTTAAGGCTCCAACGGAAGTACTGGCTCTAAATGTTTATTTTAACTTAAAGATTATAATCGGTAGTTCTTGAGCGGACTCTTGACTTGGTGATCAAAAACAAACCTTTCTACCGCAATGCATGAAACTAATCATTTGCATTTACGTCATACATCACTGACATCACGCCACCAATCAGTTGTGTATTAAACAAAATATAATCTTGAGTTATCTCGCTTTTCTATCAGATCAGTCTTTGTTGGGAAAGTATCTGACGGAATCTGGGTAAAGAGATTTCTTGACAACATGTCACAGGAAGCTAAAGATGTTGTACCAGGTGGACTGAGTCCGCTGAAACCGGCCGATGCAGAAGTGCAAAAGATTTGCGATCAGGTATCAGTTTATTAAAGCTAGCATATGAGGCAGCTCCCTCATGAAATCTTATTTCTTTCTCCGCTTAGCTTTGAAATGCCATGTTTGGCGATAGCGGACAACCCGAGTAACCCAAGCTGGAAAGCATGCGTAACTATTATTGTGACCTTCGAAAGTGTAAGGACTGATTTTGCATGCGATAAAAAGATACACTAAATTATTTAATCTAGAAATACTCAGCGTTATATATGTTTCCGTGTTTCTTCATGTCATCAGTTGGTTTGAGCGAAATGCCAGAGCGCGGCGAGAAAGGTGACACTCGGGGGTTAAGACAGAAACATTATATTTCCAGCTTGGGCTGACAGTACTGAGAACCTTTCCGAAGCTTTGTAAACAAACGATGAACAGTTAAATTATTGCCAGTATAT